GCGGGGCGCGGAGCGCCTCTCCCCTCTCCGCCTTTGTGGCTTTACTAGCGCGTTGTGCAAGGGGGGGCGGAGGTATTTATTTCCACGGGCTGGCATCCTTTATGTCAGCCGTTAAATGGCAGCGATTAGCTGAAGCAATTTCATCAAATGCGAGAGGAAGGTGGTTTTGTAAATGAAGATGAGCCGTCTCTCCTTGGAGATCCCACGCCTTTTGTATGTCAGAAAACGCAGCAGGGCGGTGGAGGGTGGGTACGCTGCGCTGCCGCGGAGCAGCTCGGAATAAATCTACCAGTGACAGGTTGGGGAACGGCATGCGGGTTTAGTAACGTCTCGTAACATTTCCAAGCTCTCCATGGGCAAAACGTGTCCTCAAACCCTGCACGTTGGCGTTATGCACGTGCTCTATTTTGTCATCTTCATTACAAAATTATCAGGGTGGCCCTTTGCTAATTCAAGGGGGTTTGCTTTCATGGAAGCTTTGGGGGAGTAAAAATCCACAGTCATCAGTGAGAAACGCGTAGAGAAATCTGAGGACTGTAAAATAAATGCAAACTGGTTAGATTTATGCGACCACCTTGAGTTTAGGAGTAACAAATTCATGAAAAAAAACCCCACTGTAACATCAGTAATGATGAAACAAATTCAGAAATGTGTCAATATCGAATATCAATTTAAAATTAACTGGAAGAAGTGATGATATTTTTATCCCATGAATGATGCGCTGTGTAGATCTGTGCTGCTGAAAACGTCTAGTAGAGGAAGTCTTCAGTAAGTTATCGAGTTCTGTATTTGTAGTACATAGGTGCAGTCTTCAACTTCTTATCATAGGAAAGCTTTTCTTTGATTATTCTCAGAAGTTGTCCTTGAACTCCCTCTGGTTTGCCCTCCACTTTCGGAGATAGGAACATGTAATGGGAAAGAAACACCTGGGACCATCTGGCCTAATACTGCAGGCATCACATCCTCTTAATTTCTTACAAAGGATTCAATTATTAGAAAAATGAACTCAAACTCAGAGATGTATGGAGGTGTCTCACTCAATTATACTGACAATATTGTGATTTTTTTCTGTGTTATTCTGCAACCATTTGCTATCTAGGAGACTGTCTGCCTTTGCTGTGGTGCTCTGTGCTGAGCAGCTCTTAACTGGCTTCCACAATATATATATTTTTTTTAAATTTTTACCACTGTATAAAAAATGAAGAAGGTTATATCAGTAATTTTAGTGACTATGCCAACCCAAGTTCCGTGTGTATCTTTTCTTCCATTCATCTAGCTTGGCTGGATTTGTCTGAATTTGGCCAGTAGCCTCTCTCCTCTTGACAATCTAAATAATTCTGTTCAAAATGACGCTCTTTGCTCTCTCATTGCATAACTTTTCTTCCCTCCCCAAATTATTATTTCCAATATTCTACAACTTCTGGTAAGCAATGTTTATGCATTTCTGCTGTTATTAACCTGCTCTAGGGGTTTTTTTATAGCATTCCTGAGTTATTGAATCTCATAGTTTGATGTCTTCCTGTGACTGAGCGTCCCTTGACTGAGGCTGTGGTAGCTGTGCAGGGTTTTGCGTTGAGAGGCACCGGGGAGCATCCCGCAGCCACGTGTATTTGCACAGGGTAGGTTAACACCGGGGTGAGAGCATCTGTTCTGTTTACTGACCATAGCTCACAAGCGCAGCAGCGGCTTCTGTTTGACGGTGGAGTTTCATCAGTGTTATTTGGTGCCCCAGAAATCTGTAAACTGATTTTTTTTAAGTCCTTCTTTATTAGGATTATTTCAAGAAACAGGTGGGTCTGGAGGTCCAGCCGCCATTCCAAAATAGGGAAATCTGAGAACAGCAGTGCCATTTGCTATCTGTTGGCAGCACAGGTGGAACAATGCTTTTGTTAATGTTACCCAGTTTCCTTTTTCCCTATTGATGTTTCCAACATGAGAAAGACAAATACCAGTGTGCTCTTTTCTAGGGCTGGTCTGGTCTGTTTTGTTGTAAAAATAAAAAAGTCTGTTTCCAGGTACAATTCCTTCTCCTATTTATTGATTTAGCTATCAGGATGTGCACATCATAGATGGTTTCTGGCTTTGGTTTACAGCTAAGAAGCAAAAAATGTAGGTAGTTATGATGTCTGTACGTTATAAGGAGAAAAAACAGTGTAGGAAAGATGCAAAAAGAGGGGTTTTTTAGAAGTTATCTAACAGTGGTCATTATTAAGGATCATAGTTGTACGGTCAGTAGTACTGTTCTTAACTCAGCCTTTGGTTCTCTCTCTGCTGCGCTTTCACTTGGTGTACATTGTTCATTTAAAAGAGCCACATAAATGAACGAGACTTTTCGTGGAAGTATGACTGCATAGCCAAAGGAAAAGCCATCCAACGCCTGATACTTGAAAGATGATTCAATTCCTTGTCTTGCCACAGACTTTCCCTCTGACCTCAAACAAGGCATTCTTTCCTCTGACAGGACAGTGGAGCGGGGAGGCTTTTGTGTGGCTGATGGTGTTTAAGGCACCACAACAGCTGGAAATGCGATAGAAATGTGATGGTCAGTGAGGATACCAGAACCTGGCCTTTGGCTTCCTAAGGATGCCTTTTTACAAAAGTTCCAGATAATTCATACCCCAGTGTATGCTTTGTTTTGCATTCATGGTGACAAGAACTACAGTTCTTTACACAACACACAATCTGGGATACTGAGCTGGATGAAGACACCCTCTTACAGATGTGACAGCTATTACTGTAACGTGCACGATACAGGAACTGATGCATCCGTGTTCATCTGGGGACCACAGAGCCATGGGCTGCTGTGGCATGAGACAGGGAGCATGTATGCTCCGGGGTGGTGCTCACCAGGGGAGGTACAACCTCTTGTTTTGAGGTAAATTAGCAACTATCTACTGCAGAAGCCAACCTGCAGAGTCCAGTAGTTATCGGAAGAGGTTAAAATGTCATTTGGTGCCCCACAGAAAATGATGAGTCCGTTTTCTTCCGGTTGCTGTCAAATAGGCACTTATTCAGTCACTTATACCACTGGTCAGCATCATTACTGATGGTTCCAGTCAGGTGTGATATTGAGTCTTATCTGAGGGACACTGGTACAGCTCAACACCAGGGTGTTTCTGTTCACGTCAGAGCTGGAGCTTACAGGTGATGAATTGTGGGTGGAGCTGCCATTTCATATTCCATCTTGTCTGTATAAAAAGACTCTGCTCTCCAGGACGTTCAGCCTACACTTCACACCGCCCTCAGTTTTAGACAGTAACTACGTTATGTTTTTATTTTAGAAATGCTAATGAACCTTCCACGGACTTTCAAATAATCCCTTGAGTACTAAAGATGGAAGAAACCTACCTTCTAGTTCCACAAAGTTACCAGTTGCAATGAGCAGAAATAGGAGATGGTGGCTTCATTATTTTATATTAAACTTGAGCCTCTAAAAGCAAGGGGGAGTCTCTCCCTGCAGGAGCCATGACAGACAGACAGGTCTCCCTGGTCTCTCCAATTTCCCATACTTGACGCGTCACTGGAGTGTCAGAGCATCGTACACAGTCCCACTAACATCTCTAACACTGAGGGATGTTCTGTTGTCCTCTTCCTGTAGGTAGGGAGTGATTTAAAGGCCGCTTTTTTAAAGTAAGACTGGCTTAAATCATCATATGGTCACTGCATAATTGGTGATCATTTTTGTATGGAAACAATTCTAGTGGTTATGATCTAAAAATATGACGATACCCAGAAACGGGTTATAAATTCATCAGGCACTGCAAAGAAATCTCCTTCCTTCCCAGGACTTAGTTTCATGTTTTGAATGATTGTGAATAATACCACTAATGTTACTTCAGAAACAATCAGAAATTAGTTATTTTTCAGCTTTACAGTGCATCATAGCGAGAAGCATTAACGTTTCATCGCCAGTGAAAAACCTTTCCTGTTATCTGAATCAAAGGGAGTACATCCCTTTGTATCTTCTATAAATAACAGTGCATTCATATGGATAATTTTGCAATATACATGATGGTTATTTTCTTATAAAGGGCATGATTGAACTCCCATTAAAGTGAATTGATGTCTCGCATTTTATTTGCATAGGAGTTGTCAATCCCTCGGTAAAGAAGCCAACTGTGATGTAAACTACGGAGTGGTCTAAGCATTACCAAGGTTCAGAAAGGCTCATCCCGTTACGAAGCACAGTTTCTGATCACTGAATTATTATCCTAGAGATCCAGGCCTAGTCTAATATTAGGACAACATAACTGTTAATTGTTTACTAGTCTCTATATGGGACTAAACCAGTTGCTAGGAACAGAATGTGAAATAACCCTGTTAGCCTTGGAGAAAAACAGTGTTTTAAATATACAGGGATTTTTTAGGGATTCTTTGCTACGGTATGACTAAGAATGACAAACTGGTCTGGGAATAGAAGAGGTTTGGCCACGTCCTTACTCGCCCAGAGCCAGGCCTGAGCTCAGTGCCGCGTGCTCCCCTGCCAGCCCCAGAGCCACCCTCACAAAGGACCTGGCTGCACAAATCTCTGAACAGGTTATTCGCTGCGTTCCACCGAGTGATCACGCTGTGTCCTGGATGGAAGGGGTTAGAAAAGGTGACTAAACTGGAGCTGTTCAGTGCTCCTCAAGACATGAGTTCTTCAGGTTTTTTGGGGGGGAAACAGGCAAAGAAGTTGGGTGGTTCTAGAAGACCAAATCTTTTTTCACAGATCTCTCTTCCCTTTTCTACCTGTGTGAGGTTCTTTCATGTGTCTACTGTCTCTAGCTACATCAGGACCTGTAGCTAATACCATTTTCATCATACACACAAAAGTA